CTTGATACAGCTACTCTGACTACTACCAAACAGTTTTTCTCTAGATCATCTTGAAAAAGTACAGTCCTCCAGGAAAATCTTCTTCCCATTAATGTCTTCAGGAGGCCTCACGTAAGTAATGATTTACCAAACAGTAGACTAGCTAGCTTTGTGTATAGATAACCAGAAGATTTAATGAGTGTATTGACTAAGAAGAGCTGGTCTAATAGAAGACACTTCCTCTGCATCTCACCTTAGTACTCCCAAGTGGAACTCACAGCAACTCACAAAGCTATCTGTGCAGCAGCTGGGTAATGCAAGCTAGTCTGCGCTAGTGAAAACAATCACACTTGACCAGTGATGAGGATTGTGCATTAGAAAGAACAGTTTTCTAGAGTGAGTACTTTCAAAAGTAGCATGGATGATTCTGAAGTAAAAGTTATGAAGCATTTTCAACAAAAACCCCACCCCTCCAAATATCCAATCCTTCAAGATCATTTCAAACAAACCCTTCCTACATTTCAGCTTTGATTTTGGCACATACCAAAAAAGATGTAACGGCAAAATCTGATCCTGAGGAGTACTGACTGCTTCCGCCTCTAAGTACCACTTAACAGAAAACTGGCCTTAATAACAATAATAGGAAACTTAACTGAAAAATGCAAAACCAAGGCAGGCAGTAGAGGAATAATGTCTCCAGATTTTCATTAAATATTCTGTAGGGTAAGCAGAACTTTATTTAAAGACAGGAAAGTAAACAAAGGTCACCACTCATCCGCAAGGTACAGCCAACCTCTTTACATTGAATGTACATTAAAAGAAAGGAAGGTCTTGAGAATAAATGAAATCTAGCATGTATTAGTTTTGCAGAATTAAAAATATTTGAAATTTAAAAAATCTGTAACTAACATTTGCTTTGTAATTTTAACAATTTTTGGATTACAGTGAAATTGTGAACAGCCTTAATTTTTTTGTGAGACAAAAAATAGCTCCTCTTAGATCAGTGAGAGTTTTGACTATCTTCTCTTACCAATGATACCATCCTTAAAATGTAAGGAGACAGTTATTAGGTTGTTTATGGGAAGAGTAGTAAACCAAAAGTTTCTGTAATTTGAAATGCACATACGGCAAGAGACCATTTTATGGCAAACTAAGTTAAGCAGTACTCTTCTGCTGACCCTGGGAACTACAAAGGATCAAGGAAAGCTTTATAAAACAGCCAAATAGCAAACATTTCCTTAAATAAACTCCTTTTACTCCACAATTCAGACAAGCTATGTGGATATTTAAACAGAACTCTTGATTTAATAAAATTCCTTTCTCAATCTTATTCTCTGTGAAAATTGGTTACAAAAGAGCCAAGAGTAACAAAAAAATGACAATTAATAAACTGTTTTAATCTATTTTTAGAGTAAGATTGGTTGTTTACAAGCAATAGATGTTTGGTCACTCATTACAAATATTTGTCCTGATCTTTGTTTGCTTTAATCTTCTTAAATAAAGTTCTGCTTATCTGATAGATCCCTTAATGTAAATCTGAGGCAGTGGTTCTTTAGGCCAGTTCTTATGTTAAGCAGTACTTGTAGGAAGTGAGCATTTATCCAGATAAGATTTTGCCTTTGCAGCTTTCTCAAAAAGTGTCAAAAATCAAAGCTGAAATGTTGAAAGAATATTTTTCCAGCAAGAGTTCAACTTCTGGAGATCTTTTAAAGCAATTTGATGATTTTAAAGTTTTGATCAACTTCTATTCCATAATCACCACATTAGTCTATAGATTCTATATATTTATATTTTAAGTATTATTCCTTTAGGCCAGAAATCTGAAAAGCATTAAATCTTCACAAATACAAGTGCACACACATACAGAGGCATACTCTATAGTATCTAAATGAATAGTATTTATATTTCTTGCTATTTATTTTTTAAAGTAAATTTAATGCACATTGAGACATGCTGCAGCAGATAACAAGTTTTACGCTGTATATTAACAATTGAATTAAAAACTCTATTTCTTGGACTAAAATAATTTAATCAAAAAATTTTTAATCAGCTTTGTCAATGTCCTTAAAGCAGCTTCCAAAAAACTGCTTACCAATGTAATTATTTTGGTTTCTAAAGACTGCAGATCAGAAAACATCTACATATAAGCTACTACTGCTCAAGATACTGCAATGATGTTATCAACCACTTCTGAAATGTTGGATAAAGAAGAGGGAGGGCAGAGAACATAAAATGTTATTTTTCATCTCAAGAGATACTCAAATAGGGAGTTATAAAGGGAAAAGTAAGAAGAAGTGAGAATGGCTTTAGTCCAGATAAAAAACACCAAACCATACAGTATCACAGTGCAAAGACTGAAGTTTTATTCACTGATTTTTAGCATAAGTAAAATCTCATCAGAACTGTTGTCTCTGAATACCTTTGTGAAGCTGTGCAAAGATGGATGCTGTGCAAGTGCAGCGCTCCTTTAACGAGACGTGACACCATAAAAGCAGAGTCTGTAGCTGCTCACAAGCTGATCATGAGTCATGAGATCTGGGATATGGCAAGTCATATTGGCTCTGACATTTACTGAGGAATTAAATATCCATACTTGGTTTTAAATTACGTTATTTGAGAATGCTCCTGTACCTAAAGCAAGTGAAAGGTAATTTTTACTTTCTTCTTGAAACAGAAAATGACTGAATCATTCAAATACTTCTTACAGTATTTCTGTTGTTCTGAAGATAAAGTGATGCAGCATGAACAGTGTCAAAGTCAGTTAAGGGACAGTTAACAGTAAGGTGCTGCTAATATGTATGTACTGTTCACAGAATAGTCCACTTCTCAGTCATCATGTCATAATTGTTATCTAAACACTCAGATAGCATTTGGAAATCATTTAGAAGTTCACGTATTTACTTATTTTGCATAAAGCCTGTGTAAAAGTATGAATGGCTGCTCCTTCAGAACTTCAATGACTTGCTTTAATGTGCTGGAATTGTCTCAAAATGAGCATGTAACCCATGGGTTTTCATCTACTCTGCAAGCAATGTTTGAGTTTTTGCCCTTTCATATTGACTCGTTAAATTTGCAATGTCAGGTGTTGGCAAGATAACAGGAAAGAGAATGACATTGCTTTAGGTATCAGAAGTTATCAGTTTGAAGTCAACATCATCCAGCTTCCTCAATAAGCCACCAGGAAAGAATTTGATTTTTCAGCCTTGTCTACTTAAAGACATTCTATGTAAGAAAGTCAGTCCTAAACAATGAGCCACAGAAAATCCAGATTTCTTGTAAACATCTTTGTATGGAATAGTTTAATCTGCTTCAGTGGAGGAGCAGAGAATGCACTTAGTACAGACAAACCAGTATCAGGGTAAACAAACAGGTTCTTGGTCTGTTTTCCTGGATAGACAAATCTTTGGTAAAAAGACATTACACATCTTCTCTGTTTGTCTCTTGGCAAACTCAGTTTAAAGGGGAACATATCCTGCCATGTGTTTTCTCCCCTTTTTACGAATACTGCTCTTATGGAACATATCCTCAGCTTCCTCTTCCTGCTGCCCTACCCCCTGTTAGCAGAAAAAAAATTGTCTCTTAAAGACTACGCTGGAAAGACCCACTTGCAGCACACAAAGAATAAGCAGTGTAATCTTGCCCTTGTTGCAGGTGACATTGGTACTCGTTTATCAGTCTGTTCTACTATTCCACAGAACAACAAGGTGTCAGTTCTCCAGGGCTGGCTGATCACACTCCCAGCACAGAAGGACAAGCTTAACCAGTGCTCTGCTGACCGATGGGATGCAAATCTGAAGTTTTGTTTCCCGGGTTCTCTGCCCTTCTTTGTTGTTACACCCCGAGATTCACAGAAGGAGCTATTAATTGTCTGATCAGAGATAAGAAGAACTAAAAGCAAAGGATGTAAACACCAAATAAATTATTCCAACTCCACTGCCACAGATTTATTTCTTAATATGTCCTTTCAAAAGTACCACGTATTTCACAATCTTAAAGAGAAATTATGTAACATTCTAAAATGTAAATCAAGTATGCAAATACATGCATGCTGCTATGCTACATCAGCAGACAGTTGAAGTGATTTTGTGCCAGGGAGCAAAGAACGACATCAGTAGTCAGAGGTCATAACAGCAGTCCCAACCCATGACACAGAAATTACTCCCGTTTCACAGCTTAATTTTCAAAGTATTAGAGCAGCAACAAAAGCAAGCACTGAGGTTTAAGGAGAGATTAAAAAGGAACAAGACACTGGAGAAACTGGAAATTTCCCTATATTCAAAAAAGATGCTCCCAGGGTACTTTAGGAGGCTCCTTTCCACTCTGACACTTCAGTTGGCAGGTAGAAAGGATATGGAACGCACCCATTCCAGGAAGAGGGGAGAAGAGCTCCAACTGTACTGCGTGCTTACTAACCACCACGTGACAAGGAAAGCCCCTAAATCCAAGCACAGCACCCTGGCAAGCATCCCAGACTCACAAGGGTGAGGATAAAGGAAGGCAGTGGCAGGCACTTCAGCACTGTGCGACCACTTGAGCAGAGCCTTCCCACACCCTCTGCTTCATGCAGTTTGCCAGCCCAGCCCCTCGGCTGACTTACAGCAGGTGCTCAGTGTAAGGTTCAAGGCTGCAGTCTGCTACACGCCCATAGGTCTGCTGTGTTACAAGCACAGCAAGCTTTCATTAAGGACAGAAAGGAAAACAAAACTTTCCACTTTTGAAAAAAACAAAAACAAAAACACAACACTTAAGTTACTTATAACAATTAGATGAATATGGGGTAACCTATGGTGACAAGTCATACTCAGAGCACATTATACAGACTCTGGGGTTGTTTGTATTTTCCCCACTCCCTCTTTTTTTTCTGGAGAGAAAAATCCTGTATAATTCAAACATGCAAGACAAAGTTTTAAGCTACACAATTAAAATCTGGCTCTACTGTCTTCCATGAGTGTTACAGTCATTCTGTTCAAATGCTCAGAGCTGAACCACTGGGTTACAAAGAACTGTAATCAGTATTTTACCTGTATAGGTGGTTCAATCATTATCCACGCAGGAAGCATCAAACTTGGGTTAAGAGGTTGAGTTCCTACACGGAAATAAATGCCACCACTGGTGTCACAGGCCCAAACATGCTGATTTCCACAGGTCAAGCTGATCAGCTTTACAGCACCTAATAACAAAGAGACTATTAGCAATCTGGCATTTTCTCTTCAAATTCAGTTAATAATGAGAACTTTTATTTAGACATGATTGTATTAAGCTAGCTTTAAACACAGTCACATTAAAATGATTAAAAGTTAATAAACTTGTGAGAGGAAAAAAAAATCACTAGATACAATGAATAAAACCTACAGGTAGTGTATATGAAGTATTTATCCTTTAAATCTAAAAATAAATGTTTTAGTCATAAGATACTGCAATTTCTAAAAGTACACTAAAAATACGCTGCATTCAAGCACAGAAACATTCCATGACAAATGTTATCAGTGCCTAGACAAACTTTCACATGACCCAGTGTGAACTTTTCTCTGTAGCTGGCCATGCTTGTAGGCTTTTAAAGGTGTTGATCTGCTAATACGTTCAGCAAAGAACATTCCTAATGCTACCAGCACTTTAAAAATACGAGAGTGTATGGATTACGCATTTCAGTGTTCACATACCAGTGTCACATCTGTAAATAAAGGACCTGATTTTCAGATAGATTTATATTCAGTGTACATATTTATTACACCAATCTCAAAAGTGCAGCAGTATTTTAACCCTAGGAAGGTCAGCATAATGAAAACAAAGCTGCCAAATAAGTACAGTTTGGAATGTTGGGGCTCTTTTTTTTTTTGCATACGCACTCGCTCCCATCAATCTTGCTATTCAAAGTCTGCAAATACAGTAGAGAAGCATACTGATATTTTAGACTAACAAGAACCACTAGTTCATTGTCAGCTAAAACCCTTACCCTTTTCACATTCGTTTTAAAATAGCCACAGGATGTAAAATAACATAGCATTTGATTTTACTTTTTTTCCTCCCCGTGTTGGGAGAGCACAATGCTAAGTAACAGAAAACAAGTTCTACAGAAAGAGGGACCCAAGCAGAACAGATATACTACAGAAGGAATGCTCTGGGCAGACTCCAAACTCTAAAAATAGGCTTTGATGGTTGATTGAACATGCCAGTGCTGCTTGGGATATCCCATTCTTGGTAACAGCGCTCTCTTTAGTGATACGAAATCTGGCAACAAATCCTGCAACGAAAGTGCATCAGATGCAGCATTCCTTAAAGAAGTGGGTGCAATTTTGTCCCACAAAGTGCAAGAGTCTGCATTTATTTCTGCAGAAGGCAATATTCCGTCATTAAGGACTGCCTGGGGAAAGGACAGAGAATAACAGGACTACACAGCTTTATCTTCTAGTATCTAGTAACTATATCTAGTTAATTCTTTCTGTAATAATACACAGATCTTCTCACTAACCAAAATTATTTAGCTTTCTGCATCATAAAAATTCAAATTAATTCACCTCACCCCATAATCTCCTTTATCATACAGCCTCACATTAAAAACAAATGACAAAACTATACACAAAAACTACTGCTTGGGAACAACTTTCTTATGCAGGCAGTGGGCTTGACATCAGCTACAAAGTCAGAATCTTACTGAAAACCTTATTATTCCTTCTAGCAAAAGGCAACTTGAATTAATGGCTTTATCACATGATGTCTCAGCTGTTGAAATGTTCTGATCCAAACAAGCATCAGAGCACTCAAAGATGGAATCACATATCACCTACTTGGCACAGCTGATATTATTTACATTTACAGTACAATCTGATATTCAAAAAAGCAGCTCTTATGTAAATGTTTTGGGGGTTCTCCCTCCTCCCACTTACTGTTTTTATGTTAGGAGAGGGTCATGCTAACCACATTCATCTACCCTTTAGAGGCAGTAGCATGATTCAGAAGCATTGTTTATTGTTAAGACCTAAAGGTCATTCTACTGTGTTTAGAAACCTTGATATTGACAGTGGAATTACAATCAAAATAGTTTACTAGATAATACTCCCACTACATTGTGCAAATGTAAAAGGAAGATACTACCAACATAATATGAATATTTCAACATTAATGCTGGCAAGCCCACCACTTCCATACAGAATTCTGAACTGCATTTTACAGCAGCTTGCTTTCCCACCCATCCCCAAATTACAGTCCTAATCTTCTAGGAGTAAACCTAAACACACGCTTGATCAATAACAATAGCTCTCAAATTTCTTCAGCCCCACAGAGCAAATAAAAGCTCTTATAACCATGGACATGCACTATCTTGTCAGCAGTGATCTACCATATGCTTTTAATCAGAGGAAAAACACCTAAAAGATTTTCACACTTAAATATTAACCCACAGTGACAGATAAAGTGGAGTGTCTGAAGTATTTCCTAACCTCAGATTTCTGCAATACCACCACCACCACGTGCCATGAAGCTAACAGAACAGCTGAATGTGAAAGCTGAACTTCTGAACTGATGAAGTTCACAAGCCAGATGTTACAGTCAGCTAACACTAGTTATATGGACTTGCTTTACAAATGCTTTGAGATTTTCAGACACTAGCAAGAAATTCCTTATGATTTCCAGTTAAATAATTACTTTCTAAACTTCTGGAAAGCAGTGGCGTTGTGAGAAAAGTTTGAAACTACTAAGCAACAGGAGTAGGCAACAGGAGTAGGAGAATGTGGACAAACCCATCCTGTAGGTTAGTGAAGGTAAAAGGCACCAACCAGTGCTTAAACTATGGCACGATTAGAGATTTGGAACCATTCCCTCAGATCTGGAAAATCTGGTGTAAAACTGGCAAACAAATTAATTTTAAAAGATACATTTAAAAAGCTTTTCCATTAAGTATTACATATTATGTACTAAAATTGTACGCGAGGCCTAAAGTCTGACAGCTGTGTCTGCCTTTCCTTAACTCTGAAGTTACCACTGCCTGTCAGTTCTCAGACCAGTCCTGAACACCATCAAAAATGGAAAATTTGACAAACATTTTAATTATTTTTAAAATGGTGGAAGAATGGTGCATAGTTTCAATTTCTTTTGTCTTCTCTTGAAAAAGGAATGCAGGTTAGCATGAAGATAAGAATGTTCTAAGAGTCAGACTAATCAAAGAAATAAATCGAATTGGAATTTTACTGATGAAGCTGACAAGTGGCCTGATTATACCAGAGCCAAGCTGGGAGGATGTTCTAGTGATCAAAACATGGTCAGCCACCTTGGTCTTATGCCTAACCAAATAAAAAGAGTGGTTAATGAGCAGCAGGTCCTTAATGTTATGCTGACGCATAAGATCAGGATGAACCCGAACGTAGGAGTGTTATCAGCTGCATCGCTTATAGATGATAGAACTCTCGAAGCACAGTCTTCCATTGAGAGAATCCTGATGAAGCTTTGGCCACCCTGTTAAGAACACATTTAACCACAAAATTCAGGGCCTTGTGTATGGAACTGCCCAGCACCACATGATTATGGCTACAGTGTAGTGCAAGAAGGAGACTAGTTAAAGCTGCTGGTACACCTGCACAGCTCCGCGTCAGGCCAAGTTGTCTCAGTCTGACAAACTGTTAGAAGCACATACACATATAAAGTATCCCGCAAACAGTAAACATGTTGTCTCCAGCAAAAGCCTAAGTGAAACATTGTTTGAAAGCCGTAACTGTTCCTGACATTTTATAGTCCTCTGCTGTGTGGCCCACTTTATCGTAACATACTATTTAATCCAGTAAATGTAATATTTCAGATAAGTAAACCAAAAGATACATCTGAAGGAAAATATTGACTGCCCACTAAAAGAGTTAAGAGATAGTGTACTCAGTAAAAATGTCATACCTAGTTGAGAGAGATCCAGTTTTGTCCAGTGCATCCCTGTTGGACAGCTGGATGAAAGCGTTCTGATGAATATCTGCCCGTGACTGTCCAAACCCCAAATGGCATCCTGGCAGGCAGAGTAGTGCACCATCTCAGCCTCTGGTGGCAGCTGCACCGTAGAAGGACGAAACTGAGGATTCTGATCACTGACACAAAACAGATCCTTGCTGCTTTGGCACAGCCACAGAAAGCTTCCTGTGGAAAGGGCATTTCTGCTATTAAAATCATTCCTAATCCCCTCTGAGAAGGCTTACACATCCACTACTGAAAAAAATGATCAGTACATTTGAAGACAAAACTAAAGCTTCTTGGCTATGTTCACAGGGTAAGGTTTTGAAGTACAAATACACATCCCATAGCCCTTATTTAGGAACCTAAATAGTCCCTTTCCCAACTCAAGTAAGTGGTTAAGTGATCTCCTTGACAGAAATTCATAGAGAGAATATATACATAGCAGGGCACTATCGTATGCCTTTATTATTTTGATCTTTTTTTATCCCTGATAATTACCTTGGAAAAACAGGACTCTTTTTCTGCTCTAAATCATGCATTTTCGCCAACAAAGTCAGTGCACCTAGATAATGCAATTACTAACTATTGTAACTAGCAGCTGAATTCCCTAGTGTTGTTGGACTTTTACTGATAAAATGTGCAATTTTGCTGCAGTAACTGCCCTGACAGGAGAAGCATTTGGTCAGTATAGGCATTCCACCAGAGCATGCTCCAAGATTGCATATTACAAATTCTGGCAATTCATGCTGTGGCAATTTAGGAAGTTCCAGCTCCTAAAGGATTACCCGTTTCTCTGTTGGATGTCACACCACACCAGAGGTGGCACGGTGAATTATATGCTTTTTTTCTTTTTATCTCCAGAAGTTTTACAGACCTATTTCCACCTTACTTCAAATATTTCAGATTCCTGCATACAGAAAAGTCACCCAAAACCTGAAGTAATTCAAGATATTTAATTACATACACCATCAATCCCACTCTTTAAAAATCAGATATTATATGCCTGTGCTGTTGATTCACTAACCTTCTTTAGATGAAGCTGTCGAAGCCAACACAAAAATCCATTTTGTGGCAGAAGCAGTGCCACGAGGCACAATATTATTCCAGTAAGTGCCTTGAATGAAAGAACAAAGTGGTATTAGTATGAAACTTAAACTTATATTGAAATTTGTTTCCATTTAAAAAGTTAGCATTTTAAAGAAATTCTATTGCAATCATCTACAAAAGATTTTATTTCAAGAAACTGCTGGGAGGAAAGGTGAAGAAAACCTCTTCCTGACACAGATACACACGTGTGTGTATCTGGGAATGAGGAAAAGGAGGAGAAAGGAGAAGAGTAATGGTCTTCATCAGGAGAACAAACTGCTGATGAGGTTAAACAGATGACGGTCTAGGTCTGTGTATATTCTTACTGTTCACCTGATCAAAAGAAACTACTACATCACAATTCTCCTTTGAGAAATACAGCAAGACAAATAAAGTGATTCTTCTGTTATCACAGTAAAACCATAACATCACTGTTTTGCATAGTCACACTGACCATGAACCAGACTCCACTGTGCTAGAGACAACAGATACAATAACTTAAGATTGCCTTCTTACCCCAGAGACAGAACAAATGTAGGTACCAGGAGGAGTAACTTGTGCACAGTTCACTTGTGGACAATGAATTCTCCATGAAAAACATTTCCCCTTAAATGGGAAAGTATTTAAGACCAAGGGTTCAGGAATCATTTCATTTAATTGCTTGTTCAAAGCTGCCCTGATGCTCCATGGATCATTTTTGTGGTGACAGAACTGTAGTTAGTTACTTTCTGCTATTTATTTTTCTTAACTTAAAAATATTAGATGTAAGAGCACACCAACCTATTAAGTTTCCCTTTGCCACATGGAATTCATTTTTGCCTGAAGAGATCCAGACCCCGCTGCTGTTTACTCCGAGGAGGCTGGGTTGACACTGAAGCTGCTGTGACCAAAATGCCATTCGAAGTTTATCAGCCACCTTCTCCACAGGTGCCTGAGCTGCTGTTGCTACTGTATGAGTTGCCTGAATTATTGTCTGGAAGAGGCTGCACTGGTCAAACATGACATAATCAGTGATGCTTACCTGAAAAAAAAAAAAAAAAAAAGCATTCTTGAGAATTAGTTAAGCTTTTGGGTGAACTGCAGAATCTTTTATTGGAAGCTTTTTTTTTTTTTTTTTTTTTTTTTTTTGATGTGAGTCCTTCACATATAGGAGATTCTACCAAGAGTTTAGAAACCTTCAAAGTGTAGGAAGGGAAAAATAAAAATGGTACATTTTGAGTAAGAGTCTTCATGATAAACCAGAAGCAATATTAAAAGTCAGCTTGCAACTCCCTCCTACCCTACAACTCAGTTTGAATTCTGCCTTTTAAGAAAGCCCTTTGCCTGGGGATGACATCTCTTCTCTCCCTTTCAAACCATACTGAACTCCACAAATTATGAATTTTCAGTTTCCCAGAGAGAGAAACTTTATATATAGTGTAGAAATTTAAATCACACCACAAAAACTTTTGAGTAATATTCCTTTACAACAACCTCATGGGAATATTAACTCATAAGGCAGAGGAGGTCTAAATGAGCAATTGTGCAAGTCCTGTCGTGGACAATTAGGCTGGCAACACTCTGGAATATTTCTAGGAAGGATGGAAATGCTGAAGAGTGAAAAGTAAGAGCAGTTTGCTAACAACCTCAAAGCCAAGCTACTCGTGATGCCACAATGCAAGAAGAGATTACATATGCACATGAAGTGAGATTCTTTTAACTTAGGTAGACAGGTAGATAAATCTTCTGTAGAATTGTTTTTGGACCTCCTTCTCCCCATGTCTATCTCTGAGGAAAGCAATAAAATCCAAGGAAAACAGAGCTTGGACTCCTACATTAATACGAGGGACCACTGGCAGTAACTGAACTGGTTTTACCCACGTGATTTGCGACTGAACCAAGTTGCACCACATGGTTCAGAGAAACCTCAGCTGAATGGAAAAACGCAGAATAAGTAATCTTGTGAAAATGCGTTTATTATTTATTTCATCTAGCTAAGGAAAATTATGAGTATTGGAAGACAAGAGAAGAGACTGCATTCAGCAGCCACACTGGAACGCTCTGCCTCAACAGCGTGTCCTACCACCACTGTTCAGATAGCGAGCTACGTGCGTACACCACTGATATGCCCTGGTAGAGCATTTCTTGTGTATCTGAAAACTGCTGTGCTGCTGCTCTGGATGACCACGAGATGGCTTTTTACCCCATTTTTTTATAGCAGACAGGAAAACTGGTTTCAGCCATAGCCATATTGAATTTTTAATATATTGAATAAAGAGTGTTACAACACATCGAACAATTAATTGAATTTTATCTCAGAATCTCATGAGAAAACAATGCAAATAATAAACCCAAGGTAAAAGACTAAACTGAAGCAAAATTTAAAAAATGCCTACTTGCCACCAATGGTTATCATCTCCTTGTGGTTTCTTTGAAACTATACCAGTTCTGAACCACAGATTTCCATGGATATCCAAAGCCCATAATGTCTGCTGATCTCCAAGGGTTATGCACACTGGTTCCAAAGCTTGCATTTCACTGGAAATGCAAATAAGTGAAAAAAAAAAAAAAATTAAAATTAAAACTTTTACTTCCAATTTATGGTAATAGTAACTTAAGGGAGCTGTTACAATGCTACCAGCAGTTCTAAATGATTGAACTCGAGGTGGCCAAGCTCAAAAAAGACATCTGATTTCAAACTTTTACAGTTATTCCATAATTGAAATTTTATTAGTGCATAAGTAAAAATCATTTAACCACAGCAAGAAGAAAATGAGACCTTCAAAGATCACTCAAGATTTGAAAAATGAATACATAACAATAAAACTAAATAAAACCTAATTTGTTCAGTAAATAAGAAATAAAGAGCTCTTCCTTAAATTTTTGATAAAGCAGCTTCATAAATTTATCTCCCACAATACTAGCAGCATAACAAAGATAAATGTTGAGTATAGGACTACAGGGTTACGGTATAAGTAAGGAATTTTCAAGCTCAGAAAGTCATCAGGGCCTGGTGATCATGTCAGGTATTCAAAAGGTGACCAACAATGCTATTTCTTTCAGAGAACCATTCTCAACAATTTATGAACAAATATAGAATGCTTTATGCAATTTTAACACAAAGCCCAAGAACATCAAGTGCACCTAAGGCACAGGTCACACAGATATTTTCTGCAAATGAACTACTTAAACTACCTGCAAATTTCAGATTTGAGCAAGACACTGAATATTTCCCTTAGACTTTCCATGAGCCAAATACCACCTTGGGAGGTAACAAGTTAAACCTTCACAGTAGGATATTCATTAGAAGATAAAAATCATATAACAACAAGAAATGGAATTTCTTCCCATACTTGCTTCAAGGTGATGTCACAAGAGAGACTATATTCTAGATTCTCACAGCCAGCAGTAAACACTCAGTGCTTTTAAATTCATCATAAACTGAGTAGCACAAGTGTAGGACTGACTACAAAGCTAAATACCAATTACTCAGAATATTTATTAAAAAAAAAACATGACTAGGAAGTGGAAAACTATTATGGAGCTGTGTGGATAATAAGAAAATACCGAGAGTTACTCTCAGCAAAAATTTACTCAAATATCTGGAGAGCTCACTAAAGCCATTACGGCACAGATTAAAGAAACAGTATTTAATCAAAGTAGTCATTGACAGACATTATAAAGATCTTTTTAGTGTTGGTCTCACTTGGGTAAACTTGTTCTAACAGTGTTACCACTTCTGTTTAGGGCCATTTCTTTCATTACGTAGGAGTTGTTCGTCAGACAGAAAACCACCACTTACTGTGACTTTGTCTGGACAAAGACTAAAGGGTGCACATCGATACACACGCACACACACGTGTCCATAGGTATACATTTGACTTCAAGTAACACATCTTCAAACATCAAGGAGTTCCAGCACTGAAAGCAATCATTTGTGTCATTCTAGTTATGACACTGTCCCACCACAGTGTCATTACCTGACAATATCACTCTTCCACTGCTCGCCTTCAGGACAAAAGCTGCGCACTCCCTCCCGGTACAGCAGGGCCCGCTGCTCACTCAGTGCCCACACAACATTATTTCTGGATGTGACCTGTGACAGTGGATAAGGGCAGTCAACCTTTACTGCTCGGGCACAAGGACGATCCACACTCAGGCCTAGAAATCAAAAAAGGAGGGTTGCTTTACAAACTTGAGGGTTTTTTTCAGCTAAAAGAAAAGTGACAAAGCTAGCCAACAAAATGAAATGAGGAGGGGAATATCCCTGGCATGCTAACACTTTTCACCTGATCGCCATTTCTGTGGTTTCTGTGGTTTGGTTTTTTTTTTTTTTTTCCTATAATCTAATACTAATTTTTCTCTAATATAGCTGTTTATATTTTCAGAAATAAAACACTATCTATCCTTTACCCTGCAGAGCACGCAAGTCCCGTCCTGTCATTTCTGTTCCTTTTCTCCCTCTAGCGTCAATATAAGGAATCACCACTTATAAAATCCACGTTAGCCTTGGCACAAGGATCAAACAAAACGGCAGTAATGGAAGAACTTTTGCCCAAAACATGCCAGAGGGAGAGGCAACCTCACCTGAACAGTGGCAGCAGAGCAATTACGATACAGCATGCCACAGTGTGTAGTACTGAAAGGAGGAGAGAGGTTCTGATAGATTTACAGGTAGTTTGCACACACTTATACAGAATATTTACAGGAACATGTCTTCGTCATGACTACACTGAAGCCTGGCTTGCATGGCTGCATGTGAAATTCCTCAAGAGACATAGCTTTACTTCATCTTCTTATGCTGCCAAAGCAACCATGAACGGACTCATCTGTAGGATACTCTGAAAAAATAGGAAGTGTGCTCATGTTCAAACCTCTGAGCACATGCTTTTGTTATAGGAGTTAGGACAATGGAGGGAATGCAAAGATCCTGGAGAAACAACTACCACTGGCTGCCTCACATTAACAAGACAGATACACTGTGAATTTATTCTTTGCATCAAAAGCAAATTTAGAAATCAAAGAACAGCAGATCGTAAACTGATAGAATCAAACCAATCTCTCACAGGGAAGAAAAATATTGATTCAAACCCCCCTTGAGCTCTGTGCAATTGGCACCAGAAGTTCACTCTCTATCACCACTATCCAATGTTTGTTTGCAATATGCATTGGGCCTGGAGCAGGCCACTTGATTCTCTGTTAACCACTAAACTTAATTAAAAGAAAATAACTTTAGAGTACAGTATCTTTGAAACAATGCTGCATATTTAAGCAGTTTTCTTAATAATGAAGAATTTAAATATTGTGCTACAGGAGTTAAATGTACAAGACAAATTAGGAGAGTACTAGAATTAAAATCAAAGATCAATGAGAATTTTGATAGCGACTCTGAAGCGTGGTCCTGCTTCAGTGTGTCTTATTGTTCCCCCCTTACCCAGTTCTCCTCTTACTTCTCCACTAATTCCTTCATCATGTTATTTGTAGTTCTCCCTTACCAACTCAGCTCTCTGTGCAAAGCCCACGTGCCCAAGAGCCCTTGATACTCTTTTCCCTTAAATCTGAAACTTGGAGCTCCACCCTTCATCCTAGCTCCTTGTATTTAGCCTGAATAATCTCTGCATAAAACCTTCCAAATGCATCCTCTTCTATTCCCTGAAGCAGATAAAACTAGGACCATGACTTCAAAGTTGCCACTGCACTATCTTTTTCTGATTCTTGCCTCATTCAAACCCAGTGAGAAGGCAGCTGTGAAGATTGCCCGTTCTGATCCCTTGCTGGCTTTGCTCTCTCCAACACCTAAAACATATATCACTTTTCTATACTTCCAAAGCACTTTATGATCTTCTGTCTCAGAAAACCTTCCTTTCATTATCAAGTGGTAATTCTGACCTCCAGCAGACCCATGCTTTTCAAAACAGAGTTTCCACTTTCGCCTACTCTGCCCCTTATACCTGCATTTCTTCTGAACAGCCACACACTAGATCATCGCCTTTCAAACTCCTTCTTAAAACTTTGCTCAAATCCTTAAAGCAAGAAAAGAAAACCCACTTAAGGCTCAGCTGCTCCAGTGCACTATACCACTTGCAAGGCAAGGATATTATTTCAATATTTTCTGCAGTCCTTTTCCATTTATCTGCATCCATCCCATTTCCCTCCCATATCATAAATTCTCTTTACTGATGTACTTCATTTGGCACAAAAAAATAAGTGGTCATGAACTGACTTTTCCAGTCTCCTAATTACACAGAATCTCATGAATGAATCCAACCGTTACTCAAGATCAAAAGATTTCCCTATGTTCTGGCTGTGGATAAAATTTTAAAACAAATTGTGATCATTCCATAGACTTCAACTGTAATATTCTTAGCCCACAAAAAGTCAAAGAGCCTGCAATTAAATCAGGTACCTGTTTGCAGATACAGATCTCCATTTGTTCTGATAATCCAAGCAGTGTCATCACTTAAAGCTACAAACACAGCCTGGGGTAACGCCTCGTACCAGTGCCGTTTTCCTTTTATAGTTACTTTTCCACAAGCAAATGCTTTGTTAGTCTTCTGTTCAATCTTCCAGAGAAGAGACCCTGTATGAGGAGTTAAGAGAGAACACAGCATCACTTAGCAATCACTGTAACAGAGACAGTCCACTCATCCTGCCCATGTCTAAACCATGGTGAGGGGAAAGGCAAGCCAGTAGCACTACACAAAAATGCAGGATTTAAAACCACTTCTAATTAGTTTTAAGAAGCAAGACCAGGCCAGTGGCCAGCTTCTCTAGGAACTGCTGAAATGCATTTACCGTTAGAGTAAGTACGATTTTTAAATGTAAGCCACTTCTCCTTAGTTCTACGCTGAAAACCAACAAACAAAAGTTCCATGTCAGGGTCAAATAAGCCTACTACAAAGAATCTGAAGTTCATGGCTTGCTTCTGCACTATTTTGGTACCTCCTCAGTACATAAAGGAAGAGTGCTTGGTTGTAGTAGTTTCACCTCTTACAAATGCTAGTAGTAAATCAGTGTTTGTGGATGGGTCACGAGTGGCAAACACCTGAAGAGGTGTGCTGCCCACACCACAGCAGGCTGGGCCCAGACCTGCTCACTGCGTAGCACCTCACGAGCAGACAAAACTCAAAAAGGCAACTCCACAAATCCACCTTGGTAACTTTTTCTACCCACTGAAATTGGCAAGGACAGCTCAGAAAAAGAAAACCAAGTGGAATTCCATTGCTTGGAATGACATCCATGCAGTACATTGTCAGACTACTTTCCTTTGAATAATTCCACAAAGTAGCATTCGATTCTATTTTGATGCTTGTGGTTAACACACTCTTGTGTTAATACATCCACAGGAAACTGTGGATACTAGAAGTTTGCATGGATTCAATGAAAAAGTGGGTAAGTTCCTGGAGCTGAGGGATAATAACTGCAGAGGATCAACCTTTTGCCCAGGAAAACTCTGAGCCACCAACAACTGCAGTTTCAAACTACCAAGGGCAAACATCATTACTAGCCCATTCCTTTTACTTTCCTGTGGGTACCTGATTTTGACCACCGTGAAGGACAAGACATTGAGGTGGACAAATGTATGATCTCATCTAGTATAGCCACTCCTAAATTTTTTTGTCCATAACAAATCTCAGCTACAGATCAAATAGAACACCCTTCTTCTTAAAATAGATAGCAAAGTTCCCCCTCCAGAGAGAAGGGAAGTTTGGCATGTGCCTTTAGAATGACAGGGGAAGAAAAGTAAATGCAGGAGACCAAGTAAAGAAAGGGTCTGAAAAACTTATATTTTCACACCAGTCCTGGAACAACCAGGGAGGCCAAAACTGATGCAGGTTTATAATCAAATTATAAATCCAAATAAATATTATCAATAAATCAAAAACCATTTAATTTTAATCCAACATCATCCTCGTTCTCAACCATCCAGAACAAACTCATATACAAATGCACCAAAAATGAAAAAGTATTTAAAAAAAAAAAAAAAAAAATCAAACTCACCCATACACAAATCCAAATCTACATTTACAGCAAAAATAGTTTTAAATTTGGGAATCATAGGCAGTTCTGTATCAGAAAACAAGGTTCTGTACAGACAAGGACCTCTTCATTCATCTCTGCTTATAACTGAACTGCTACTTCTGAAGTTCACTTCAAATTAAGCTGATGCATGTTGAAAACTTGCTGAAATGCAGTGTGAACCTGTTAGAGAGACAGCCACTTAACCTAGAACATGGTGCGTCGAGGTAGTGAAGACAGTCATGTCACCTTGTGTGACATTTAAAACAAATAAACAATAACAACAAAAACAAAAACACAAATAAGCCCCACAAAGCCAAACCACACAACTTTTACAGAAAACAAGCCCCAAACAACAGTTTCTGGAAATATTGTATTTAAAGAAAACAAACAAATCAGTAAACTGCCCGTGTGGAAGTTCCATGTGCACTGCGCTGTATCTGTAATCTCAGAAAAATGAAGTTCTCACTTAGCTAAATAATAGCTGTTATTAAAAATAAAATAAGAAAGCAAAGAAAATGCGCAAGCCTGTGCGAGTTTCCCATTTATGAGGTGGCCGTGGAGCAGAAGCCAACTGACCTGAGGGGGAAACTGCCACTTGCTGGACACCATCCTCAAACTTCTGCCAGCGCAGCCCGGCGGTGGGAAGGGCGCTGCAGAACAGGCTGCCTCGGTAGTCCAGGCACCAGATGTACTTCTCCGAGACCACCAGGCTCAGGATGCCGTAACCAGGGCCAGAGTAGCCCATCCAGCTCTCTGCAAACTAAAAACTGAACAGTCAGAACAGCCTCAGGGGTCTGCAAAATGCATTAAAACAAACGTGGCTATATGAGCGCAGCAGCTGCCGTGCTTTGATTTTAAAAAAGCTAAACTTAAAATTCTTAAGGACCTTCATCAATGAATAAAGTGGTCTTGTGTAAAATAAAACTACATCTGTCAGTGTTCTCTAAAATAGTATGTATTTTAGAGAATGAAATAGGAATGCTAGAATAAAAGCTTTAGAAAAAAAAAGAAAAAAAGAAAAAAAAAAACCACCCTAAAAACTCCAAACTGTCATCTACCTCCAAAATATGGGAAATCTTCTCTTATTAAAGAAAACATATTTAACGGAAATGGCAGATGCAAAAAAGAATACATAAAAATATTCAGCTTGTCCATAGTCCAGGTAATTATTTACTGTCTTCAAAGTCATGAGCAAAGGGAACAAGATAACTGGAATGAAGAGACAGCTAAATATCCAACTCCAGTCCTCAGTATGGTACAGGAGCCATGTATTGCAGAAATTTCAGTTAGAGACTGCTATCTTAAATTTTGATAGCTTGCAGGTGAACCCAAGCACTGCACACATGACCTCTAATGTAAGCATCTCTGGAGCTTTCCTAAACATTCCAGAGAGTAAGAATATCATAACCTCAAACTAAAAGTCTTCTACACTTTGGGCTGCAGTTGTTACTAGATAGGACACTACCAACTTAAAACTGAACCTTTACCAACAAATATTTGGTTGATCTCAGTACAAGGCTGTTACAGGTTTAAAAGGAAACAAAATCCCCAACCTAGAAGATCTGTATTTCCTTCTTAAGACTTGTACACAAACCCTCAGTGATTCAGGCAATTTTGCAGATTTTAAAATTACTTTCAGTACTTCCATAGTCTATATGGGAATTGTTTCTAGAAACATTCACCTACAAAATAACAACAAACAGAAGAGGGATGACAGAAAAAGGAAAAACATCAACATTTTAAGTAGTACCAAATGCTGTCTAGTGTGGAAAGAAAGACTAATCTTTCCTGCCAGTATTTGTAGGTAAAATGATTCTTAACCAGGGGCCAGTCATGTGAGATTTTTTGCCTTAATTCCCCCTTCATCATCCATTCTGAAGTTGGATACATCGTATTTTGTAAGTGTTACAACAGAAACTGCTCTTTGGCTTTATGCTTTACTTGTTTACTCAAACCAAGAAAAAAAATTGCTTTCCCAGAGAAGAAAAGGGTGGTAATTACATGAAATTACATGAAATGCTACAATTCTGTATTTTAACTAAATTGAAAGCATGTACCTGATCAGACTTTACCAGCACTGTTTCATCTAGGCTTATCTTGGCCACATCTTGGGAACCAGGCCCAGCACCAACTTCAGGCATGCTTGCCTCTGAGGATGAATATGGTAATCCATGTCCATAAATATCCTCTTCATCACTCGAGGCAGATTTCTCCATCTTACTTTCATGAGTGTCTGTTCCCCATTCAGCAGTGTTAGTACTAGATTTAGCTTTGATTGCACTTTCAAAACTCCATCCAGAAATGGAAGTGTTATCTGCACAAGCATCGTCAGAGCTGTCACAGGGGAGCACAGCAGGATCTGACAGAGCGCTGTGTATTAGAGAGAGTTGCTGTTGGTCTTCCCTGACAGTTTCATCACCTTCCTTTGCTGTCAGTGATGTCTGAACACCAAGTACACTGTCACATTCCAAAATCATTTGCTCTGTAAGGTCTGCCTCTTCAAAAGATTTTTCAGTATCCCGCAGCTTCATTTTATCTAAATTTTCATCTATTCTACATAATGTAGGAGAATCCTGCTCCTCCTCTTGGCTTGGCTTTCCAAGATAGCATTCATTGCTTGCAGAAACCACACTACCATTATGTTCACCATCAACACTGCTTGTCAAGTCTTCCGTGAGCATCAGAGGAGAGACAGATACCAGAGTATCTATAATAGTTGAAGTACCCATGCCACTGTCACTGTTTGGAAGTTTCTGTAAATCAACCAGATCTCCATTTTCTTCATTAATTAGTACAGTCACAGACTCAGGTGACTGTAGGACACTGAAAGTGTCTGAACCATTATCTTCTTGCAAGATTGTATGGGACTCCACACTGAACACACTTTCCTGATCTGGAGATCCAGTACTCAAGTGATCAATGCTGCCACTCATTAGGCTGGAAGTCATGGAAAAGGTGTCTGCATTCAGGGAGTGTGGACTGTCACCAGAAAGCTGACGCTCACAGATTGGTGTACCTTCCAGAGAGCTGTGGTTTTTCCTCATCCCATTTTCTGTTCTCACAAAACAAAACGAACAAAAGGAGGAGACGGGAAATAACATTAATAAAATGTATTAAAGTGCAAAGTAAGAAAGTGAATTATTTTAATCATTTGGGAAAGAATAGAGATAAATCTAAATTTTTACATACTAATTTTTTTCAATTGCAACACTAAATTACACATACAAAGCCAAAAGAGTAAAACACTGGAGTTGTAACACCAATATAGTAAACAGTTAAAATAAACAAGTACTCCCACTATTTTAACAAACTAAAAAGCACAGCTAAGATGTCAAATACTCTAAAAAGGATTAACAGATATTACATAAGTCAAACATAAAACTGGAAGCAGAGACCACTGTATGTAACCATTCACTCATACATTGGAACCTTAAGCATGTTTGAAAACAAAGTCAAAAGAGTTAAAAAAAAAAAATCTAAAACGACTTCAGAATTTTATCACCTTCGAAACAAGCTTTCATCTTAAAATATAGATGGCCCACCACAACCACTCAAATATCTCATGAGCATGACAATACAATATAAACACAGCATGTCAAACAGTGTCTTGTGTGAAACACCAGAAGTGACATGTCCTAATAATGACCACTGGCAGGGAAAGTTCTGCTAGGCTTACCTTGTTTCTTCCTTTTTTTCTTTTTCACTTTAATTGGCTTTACAATGAGTTCTTGATCAAAATCTTCAGAGCTGATTGTAAAATGTGAAGAAAGTTGACTCTCTCTCTGAGCTTCTGAAAGTTGGTCTACACATATCATAAAGCTAGAGCCACTGTCCACAGAATTTATTGAACTGCTCCTGCTTCTTGATTCACTTACTACAGAGCAGCCTCTTTTCCTTGTTTCACTGCTCAAGTCTCCCACTCTATCAAAACTTTTCTCCGGTAGCATTGGAGTTTCCAGATCATCTTTCACTGAAGAATAAGAGTCTTTTTTATCACCAGTAACTGGAGGGGAAGTAACCATTTTTTTATCTGTTTCCACTGAAGGGCTAGATGATGCAGATGCAACTACTGACAGTGGGGTAAGTAATTTAGGAGTCGTATCTGTTAAAGGATTCATCAGTTTTGAGTTCACATCTGAAATTGAACAAAATAAAAATATAACTACTACTGTATCAAGTGAGTATCAAGTGGCATAGCTCTTGGAGAGTATTGAAAGAAAAGAAGCTTTATGCAATGGAAAAATAGTCTAAGTTAGCACCGTTTCAAATATATATGCACACATACACTGTAAACTTCATGTAAGTACATCTATATGAAATAATTTTAGTAAAATGGACAACCCAAAGCCTATATCAAACTTCTATCAACAAAATTCTGAATTTATGTTTATGTATGAAGAATGGTACAGGTCTTGATCTTGGAAGACTTAGCTGTATCACAGACTGAAGTGCCACTCTGTACCTTCAACTTTGTCATTCAAACATTCAGTATCTTGAAAAAAAATCAAGGAAAATTTACCACATAAATCCCTATGGCAATTAGAATAAAATATACTTTAAGAAGGCTTTTTTCAAGCTATACTTTGAAGTTAAGATTAAAATAATCATCACCTCTAGGACTCAATTTCCAGAGGTCCTTTCCAACCCCTAAGATTCTGTGATTTTATAATATGCAGTGATAAGAAAGTGCAGTTCTGCAGCACTCTGTGAGACTTCATAGCATGTATACTGGGTAACACAAAGCTAAGGTGGAGTATTTTAAATGCACAAGCAGTCCTTCTGTGAGAGTAATATACTGGATAATGGCCTTTCCAATCTTTACGAGTGAGAAATCGACCAGCACCATCCGTAAGTACAATGAGGAAGTATTAAACCCTGCTAGAGAGTTCTAGAAAGACAGATGGCAACAAACAAGAAAATCAGCCCTCAAGTTTCTTTTTGGAATTTTACAGAGTATTGTTTGAGGGTTTTGCCAGTTTGTTGTTTTTCACAAAACAAGAAGGCTGAGATTTCCTCTGCAATGTGGGTGGTGACAGGTGGCACAGAATCAACACATTCAGGTATCTCCAACCCAGACAGTTGAGATTTTTCCACAAATAGGTAACTACGATCAGGAATCACGACTGCTTCAGTATCATGGTTTAGAATAAAGTCTCAAATGCACAGGTTACAGATGCCTGGCTAGGATAACGCTGACCTACTCTAAAAAAAGAAGGAATCATAATAAATTTTTTAATGCTCCGGTTCTCACTGCAGCCAAAAGCATATAAATCAGATCTCCAAATATAATCTGTAGAAACAGACAAGTAACTGTACAGAACCTGCTAGGTTTTTGCAATAACCTGACAGTTTTTGTGTTGGGTTTGGTTTGTTTTGGGTTGTTGGTTTTATGTGGTTTTAATATTGAAAAAGCACGATAGGCACCGTGTTCCACGAGGTACCTACTAGAGATTGCTAATCTATACAAACCTATTGATGGCAGTCCTTCAGGTCTACTTGAAATTCTTATTATATCTCTATCTCCTTTTAAGAGAAAAATCTCATTGTTGGTACAGGATACAGACACAATATCACCATATCCTTCCAAGCCACCAATCAAAGCCTATAGAGAGTCAACACAGAAAGAAATAATTGGCATCACATCAACACACTGTTTGGACAAGACAGTGTTCTTAACACCATCACTAGAATTTAATCAACATATACAGTTATAAAGATTTCACATTATCAAAAAGAAGGAAAAAAGAAACAGGAAAGCACTCTTTAATCATGATGTAGTCCATTTTTATACTAATTCAAATTCCGTAGATGTATTCATTTTCTCTGTCCACACTAGCAGCAACAATAACAATTTAAAAAACATGCAATTTGGTGGCAGAAAACTGCCACAGTACAGATGCTGAATACCATTTAGAGCAAAAGATACTAGTTTGTATTCACTTTCATATGCACTTTTAAGATGAAAAAATAGCTAACAGCTTACTGTATATCAAATAAAACACAGTACTTGGGGTTTTTTTGAGATACCAAAAGTAGTCGAAGGGAAAGAATAAATAATTCCAGACACATCTTACAGGCCTAAAACTTCTTTTTGCATTAGTTACTAGATTTTTAGATCTATATGCTTTGATAAGTATCGGAATTGATTATGATGTTAACACCTGGACTTCAATCTTTAAACATATTTAATTTTTATATGTAATAAACCAAGATAAGTTTGTGAGTAAATCATTGTAATGACAACTTGAAGAGGGCATGAATAAAGTTATCTTTGTTAGGTTTAAATAAAGATTTAAATCATAGAAGTTTAAGGGATAACCCAAGGGTGATCTTATGCCATAGCATGAACAAAAATAAGTAAGAAACAAAACATGCACCCACAACATCTATCTACCTGGTTCACAGTGTCTAGTAAGTAGATGCTGTATTCATTCCAGGTCAGCACCCATCCTTCTCGGAAAAAGCATGAAACAAGCCCAAGGTGTTTCTCTGGGGAGCTGTAACTTCCTCTGTCAGGTGGTTCCAAACGAGGATACAGTTCAAAAGTTTTTATTCCTCCAGCAAATACATCTTTCAGTATGAACGTGGCCTGAACAGTTCCATGAACATCAGACTTCCAGAGACGAAGCCCAGGTCTGGCAGCAAATAGTGTCAGATCACTCTGCTTACATAGGCCAGGTATAAAACAAGCTCCAAATTTGCCAGTGCTAAAATGCAAAAAAAATGTATTTTAAAAGCTGTATATTCAACTTATAAATGATGTTTTAAAAACAATGGCACAAATTACGACACAAATTTTCAAAAATAAAAAGTCTTTCATTAAACTATTCAGTCAAGTGCATGGAGTACAAATTTGGTTACAGTAAGACAAGAAAAGTGCTCCCAAGTAACAGTTTCCCCTCAGTTTTAGATGTCAGACACTACACTTGTCAGGCAAGTTGACTAATGACTCCTGATAAGCCTCACAGTCCTAATGGTACTCTTTGTCCACCTCAGAAGGATCCTACTATACAGTCATCCTTCTCCCAGAACTAATAAAAAGCAGGCAGAACACCACAAACTAATGCTAAGAAACTGACAGCCTCTACTTGCAAGAAGCATCGAAGAGGCCTCAACTGTTAAAATCTTCATCTCTCATGCATAAAAACGTCATTACTATCACCCAAGAAAATCCCTCATCTGTGAGATGGTCCTTGGTATTCCTCTTACTATTCATACCCCTGGAAGATACATTTAAACCTTCTTTCAAAAGTCACCTTCCTCTACTTCCAGCTACAGTCAGTCATGCTTTTCTAACACTGGTTGCCCTCTTCCATCATATCTGAGAGATTACACAACAGAAGATGCCAGAAGGTCACATAAGTTCCTAGCCTTCAAGTCAGCTTAGCGTGCTTCCTATACATGTTCCCTTTTAATTTACTTCAGTATTTGAGAAAAACTGGGATGCTGACTTGCTTTTTGCATCAAATATGACATCACCCATTAGATGGACCTGAATACAATGCTTACTCACACCAAGTCACAGTAAACCAAGAGGGACTGCAGAGGATGTTTAGCAGTGATTTAATTTTAAACAGTGAGAAAACATATTTACTATTTTTGCATACTAGTGCCCAAAAAATATGATTGTAATGTATTTGCAACTCTATTTTTTCTAAGTGGTTAGACCTATCATTTTATATTTGTGCACACATAGCTAGCGTAACTAAGTTTTTTATGAGTGGACTGCTGCATTGTATCAATTTCACTGCTTAGATCACTCTTTCTGTAATCCACTCTGAAAAGCCAGAATTAATAGATGTGCCTGCATCAAGATTTTACAAGGGTTACTTTTTTCTGGGCTGTGTTCCAACTTGCTTGACAGATTTCTCTTCTGTGTAAAAAAGCAGAGTCCGTTGTAAAGTGGAGACAAGCAGCACTTTCTGGTTGTAGTCCAACTGAACAATTGAAGATGGTTCTTCCAATACAAGGCTGGAGTTGCAAATACCCTTTTAAAGAGACACGCAATTAAGAAGAGTCAACCTTTCTAAAAATCTGAAGTAACAGCTAATATATCAAATAAATTAATAAGCCCAAGAAAAGACGACAAAGAAAAGCTTTTGAACTACCATTGCACAAATTTCACTTAACAAATGTGGGTTCCTTCATGAGGACAAAATGGGAGTTAAGATTGTGTGGACCACAGTGGCAAAATACGAAATTCAGTTTCTCTTGGAACACTAGCTAAGACATTCCACTTGAAATCAACCAATTAAAGCAGGCCAACTAAATACATGATCCTAAGCCATTAACTGCTAAATATTTAAACACAGAAGCATCCTTTCATCAATTGTAAAGGGGAATTAAATTCTCTGTAATAAATGCTCACCTGGTCTAGGTCTAGGGCAGAGTAGACAATCTTCCCTTTGTCATCTCCAGAGAATAATTTCATCCCATTGGGACTCCAAGCTAAAGCCGTAATGCTGCTCCTGTGGATACCAGCAACGTCAAATCTCCGAAGCTGTGAAACAACACCACAGCCACACAAGAGTGAGGGTAAAAGAAAATTGAGACACAAATGCAGTGACTCTGACTGACAGACTGGAGACCAAGTACAAAAGTGCAGGTCGTTCTAGTTTCTTTAGCACAAAAAAACACCTCTCTAAACAATTTAAAAAAAAACACCACAAATTTCTAATAACTGGCTAGTTATTAGAAATGAGGAAATTCTCAGAAGCCTTTTTGATAAAATATATCTTTTGTAATGCAAAACATGCTTTAAGATTACTGCTTTTATAAACTTAACATATTAAGCCTAAAACATATTCCCAGATAACTTATCAGGCAAAATTCTCTGGTGTTTCACTATTATGAAGAATCTTCCAGGATTCGCCATTCTAAACCTCACAGAATTTTAGCCAAATGCAAAGATTTACCTGTTTGTTTCTTCCAGGTAATGAAGACACAAGCTGAAAAACTGCCACCCGTCCTGAGGCTGTACCAACAGCAACTAGATCATCAAAGCAACTCAATAGCTTTACAAAAGTAATAGATTCACACTTCCCCTGTTGAAACAAACCATACATAACCCACAATGTTAATGAGAGACAAACAGCAGCTCAATTCTGAGCAACTCATCTTCATTAGAAGAGATGAGTAGAAGTTGGTATTTACCTCAAAATTATATTTTTTCATCTGGTTTACATGTCTGCAGTAGAGATAAAGCATTCCAATGCTGCTCCCCACAGCAATGTAGTCTGCATTGGTATCAAGTGCTGTGAGGTACACCACAATAGAGCGAAAGCCTTTTTGGATTTTTGTAGGAATGGCATTGAGGAGATAATATAAGGGACAAAACTCCTTAAATATAACTGGTGAAGCCACAGATGCCATAGCAAGCACTGGCATCAGATATATTTATTTCAGCCTTAAAATTGCTACTTGACCACATAAGGAAATCTGAAAGACAAAAGGAAAGGACATGGCATTAACTTCTTTGGAAAGAGCAAACAGTTAACAGAAAGCCTCCACTTGGCAAGCAGGGATGCAGAAATTCTCAGGTTTTGTTTTGTACAAAGAAGCTAAACTTTTCTAGTAAACATAAGTTATTATTAGAAGAATCTTTTCCTTAAGAATAAGCTTATTTCTTCGGTTCAACCAGTATCTTAAGGATGTATGGCAACCACTAAATATGGGAGATCCACTTTTTTTGCAGCTGTGAGCTTGTCAAAGTTGAGTTCAAATGCAATTTCTTCTCCTTTGGCTAATGAAAGAATTGCGAAGGCTCTGACGCTGAAGAATCCATGTGGTGTCTTTCTTCATCTATCTGCAAACTCTCCCCTCAGTTCTTCCAGAGCGAAGAGCATGGGATGTTCACTGTTACACAGTGCTGTAAGATCAAAGTGTCAAACCAGTACTTCCACTCCCCTCCTCAGTGCCCTGCATCCCAAGAAAAACATGCTTGACAAACAATTAATTTAGAACTACGTCTGCTATATAATCAAACAGTAATCAAAAACATAGAAATAGTGTAGGAATAAAGGGGCAATGCAAAAATGAACAAAATACCAGTTTGACAGACAAAGGACAATTCCCATGTAGCAATTTAATTTAGAAAGGTGAGGAGCAAACAGAAAAAAATTACCATATGGCCATGTTTCCCTTTATGGTTAAGTAAACAATTTCATGCTGATGAGCAACACTGTAAACATGCTTAAGGGACAATTCTGGTATTTTCCTAAGAATAACACAAACAAAGATTCTGTTTGCTTTCTTCAAGAAAAAAAACATAGTCAGGGCTCATTATAGCAATCATGTACTGGGATCTTCAGAAAATGCTGATGTGACTGTGATGTATGTTAAAATTATTTTTTAAATGTAATTAAACTGAGTAATTTTTCACATTGTGAGGTGAGAGCCTTGACAAGAACAGCAGTAGCTCTTTTCCTCATGGATGATTTTGGAACACAGATAAGGAAAGAAACCTTCACTTCTTGAATTTTATTTTGCCACAAGTGAGTCAAATTAATGTCTTTTTAATCCCATAACATTTAAGATTTTCTTAAGCTTCAGGAGTTACAACTTCCTTTGAGAGATGAAAAACAGAAATATGCGAATTAAAGTCAGAAACACTTCTAAATATTTAAAATTATTCTGTAAAGTATTCCTACTGCAATTCATGTGGTATGTCCTATTGTGCCTCGCTTTTTTTTACTCTAAGGATGGGAAAACTTCTTTGCTTGGCAGCTTCATACATTGCTTATGGTGTATATCAACTAAGTTAGAAAGAACATAGCTGCTCCAGCTTAATAGCTCCATTATTGTGAAAAGCTTTGATGTCTCCATTTTCAAACTATTTCAGTTATTGTGCAAGTGGATTCAGCACGTGGGCTTTGGGCCCTGCAACACATGCTGTTAAGATACAATTCCACTAAATCCAAAGAGATTACTTCCATGACATTACCCATTCGAGTCCATGTTAGACGAGACTGCAGGAATAATGATTGGTGACTGGACTCATAATTTATCTGTGCTACAAAAACTGCCAGTAAGTAAGCTTGCAGCAGTTATTAGATGTTCTTAATTGCAAGAAACTGTAGTGCTTGTTAGAGCTTAGAAATTAATTCCACTCTCCTCCAGTGTTTACTACCTGTCATAACACCTACTTCAATAAAGAATCACAAGGATTAGTTGATTAATGTGTCCAAACTACTTTTGAATGAAGAATTCCTTTCAGAGTTATTAGGTATGTTAACAGATAACCTCAACCCATCATCACCCTTTTACATTAGTTTCACACATGCTATATTTTAGGACCCCTGGCCTTTCCTTCAGCATTTTACTACTGTCTAGCTACAGTCAACTACCTAAAAAGAGCATCCACTGCTAAAGTCTCCTGTTTGCTATTATAAACATGCTGCTTTGCCAGTTTAGTAATTTTACTAGCTGCTGGGGTTTTCTTCCTTTCTTTATTTTCTAATAAAATAAAATCCAGTCTTTGTCCTGAGTCTCACATACACAAATCTTCTGTCTCATCTCAAACTCTACCACACCCCAGCTACTGCGTCATGAATTTCACGTATTTTGGTTTTTAAATCTTCTTTGTCACTCCTACAATCCACACTTATCATCATCCAAAGCTGCTGTTGTAGCTGGAACCATCTACACTCCCGAGTTGCCCAAGGACCTTGCAAGTCCTCCAGATTAATTCCCCCTTTTAGTTTCTATCACTTCCAGCTCAACTAAACTGTTAAAAAAAACAGTAATTCATTACAGACTACGGAATTATGGAAATCTGTATTATCCAGAAAAAGACTATTACTCTTTCCTCTGCAACAACCCTATCTGCAACCTGACACATTTTGTAAGTTTACACTTAATTTAAAAAGAGAGAAGAAGGGAGAGTTTGATATATCCTTGCAACTTCCAAATCCCCAACCCACTCCCCCTAGAAAACACTGGGAGGAATTTCTCACGTCTATACTACGTTAAATTTTTAAAACCTCCTGTCAAGTTAGGGTTCTGAGTCTTCACAGAATGTATATACAATCTTATTTCAATATTCTCTGATGGCCAAGTTGTAAAAAAAAAGTAGTTCAGTTTTGTTATCTATAACCCATTCACTGTGTCTGATAAAAAATTGTACTAATAAACTATAATTTCTTGCCATTATACACAAATTAGTTTTGTCTTGAGTGCTCTACAGACCAACACTTGCACTGCTTATCTGAAAACACATAATTTAAAGATCAGGTCCTAACTTAATTAGCAGTATTTTTAGCAATTTTATCTACACAAAACAAATGTATAAAGGACTAGAGAATTGCAGTGTGTCCTATGTATTCAAAAACTCTCCAAACACCACAATTCTCTGGATTTAAGCCCAAAGTCTTCAACATCCCCCTAACCATAGTTGTGTATTACATGTAGCCTCTTTTTTAACAGCTTCAGGATTGTTACCTGGTTTTCCCATTTCACTATTCAAAGGCAAACCGTGGATACAATGTATTTTCTCGGACAGATGCTGGAGCTCACTGTGTTCACATGCTCACTCTGTCAGACACAGTTACTCTGAAGTACGTGACACCCGTGTTGGGCAAATCAGCTTGTGTTAAGCATATCCCGCAGCAGAGATAAAGTAGGGGAAAATACCTAATGTTGCACATCAAAACCAAACACCTGACAGAGTCCTTTCTTCTCAGCTCACAAAGTTCACAGGTTTTGAGATACTGCACTCAAGGCTATGTTTTCAAAAGCAATCTTTTTTTAAATTCTCATCTCGGAAACAAGAGCAAGGCTCAATGCTGCCTAACAGAGGCAACCAAAGCGAGAGATAATCCCTTGGTTAAACTGATAGGCAGTGGAACAGCTTCAGTGCCAGGGCATGCCACGGACTGACTGCAGGAGGCTAAAGCTGTCACTGCATCTCTCTGAGCCTGAGTGTCCTGTCTGTACAAGAGGGACGACAGCTCTGGGTTTGGTTTTTTTTGTTTTTTTGTTTTTTTGTTTTTTTTTTTTTCTTCTTTGGCATAAGAACTTAAATTTAAGCTCTTCACAGTATGGACAAACTCTGTATGTGACCACAGCTAAACACAACAGCTCTGACCTCTGCTAGATCCTGACAAATTAGAATCACAGTTTTATCTTCTAATAATTCTCACACTGTCAGCCTACCCTACTGACACATCTCCAGAGCTTTTTACAGCAAACAGCTGTCAAGCAGAGCGCAGAACACAAACCCGCACCCACCGAAACCAGCTCTGCTTCCACGGGTCCCACGAACAGGCGTAAGACCAGCCACCACACGGGTCACAGTCACCTGGTTAACACGCCTGTCCCTCTACGCGACTCGTGAAATGTTGCACTTTGGCTAACGGGTTTTTTCGAGAGGGAACAAAAACCCACAAAACATCAAACCTAGATGACAGAGACTGAAAGGACGGAAAAGGGAGCACCGAGGGGCACCGCGCACACAGGCACGCCAAGGGGGCAGGGGAAACCGGCTCTACTCACTCCGACAGCCTTCGGACACCCGCGTGCTGTAGGAAACCTTCCCTCCTTCAACGCATTTCTATATGCTGGCGGACGTTCCGAGCCAGCCCTT